ATTTACCGCTAGGTGAACAGGGACAGCAGGTGTAAGGAAACATGCCCATATCTACACTCATTTCTACACTGGACGCTTGTTCTTGTATACAACCTTCTGGGCAATTAATCGGAGGTGTCCTGAAAATAAGTCACTTTATCTGACTTTTTGGGAGTTATCTTAGGTAATTTACACTATGTATGATAATTGCACATGTGTACCTGTGCCTTTGCTCTGTGAATTCCTAAGCCAGGGTAAAGCCAAGTGATTTTAGATTTTGCCACCGAAGTGGCTAGTTTATTGTGCACCCCATATCCATCCTGTGGACGGTAGCGCGAGAGCATATGGATACACAAAAGGCCTAGGAACTAGGCCCCAAAGGGTTAACAGGAATACATATGGATTTATATCTACATATCTATAGTTCACTTATCTGTTACAAGCAAATTTAGGAAATTTGCTTAGTATATCTGGTATCTTATTTTCATTAATAAGATATCTTGACATGTCACATAGGTTATTATACTGTCTGTCTCTGTATTCCTCAATAAGTGGACAATTAAGCACATAGTGTTCAAGAGAATGACCATATGCCTGATCACATAATTTACATTTAGTTTGATCATCATCTGTGTGTCTCCCAAACTGCCAGAAGTACTTGTAACCAAGCCTAAGCCTGGCCACTACAACATCAGTCAGTCTGTTCACATTGCAAGTTGCTCCATAAACATACTTATCTACGTTCATGTTATCATAGTGGTTATAGATCTACTCAGGCTTCTAACTGCATTCCTATAACAATCATTTTCATTATTTACTTCTCTCCTAATATTATTCCTAATGCTAGACACAGTTATACCAAAGTTATATTCTACATTCTCCTTCTCGATACTCTTCTTGGCTAACATATCAACTTTATCATGAAGGAGTAATCCAATGTGTGATGGGATCCATAGCAATTGTACATTAATTCCTTTTTCCCTAATTTTTGAGTATCTATACCTGGCTTCCCCAATGAGCATGTTGTTGGAGTCATTATATGAACCAAGAGCCTTCAATGATGACATAGAATCAGTAATGATGATAGAGTCAAGCTCAGTGTCATAGGTTAGCTTTAGCGCCATTAGGATTGCAAACAATTCAGTTTGCAGTGTAGACGCCCAGTTGTTAATTTTTATGCCTAACTCAACAAATTTATTATCGTTCTTAACTAGGGAGGTGGCAACAAGAGCAGATGCAGCCCTGCCAGAAGACTCCTGTTTAGATCCATCAGTGTATATAACTTGTGATAACTTGTTACTACCAGCTAAGTGAGAAATTTCTTCTTGAGCAGTTGCTCTAACAAGAGATTTAAGGAAGGGATTACTAGCAATGAGCTTCTTGGGAGGAACTTGTAGGTATGTGATATTAAATGAACACATCTTCCATGGAGGGGTGAAATGCTCTTGTTGCCTACAGTGATACAGTTCATGCAGGTTATAAAACTTAATGCAATTGCACGTTTTCACAATCCATTTAGATCTGTGTGTATTTACCTCTAGACACTTGGTAAGATTCACTGTGACAGTGTCTGGTTCGTTTCTCAACATTCTAATACCGAGTACAGTGTTAATTTCAACAATCCTATCACTGATACTAGAAATACCAAGCTCCTTCCTCATGTTTAAGAACTTTTGTAGATCTGGGACAGCCAAGAATAATCCTGAGAGCTTCATTTTGCATTAACTCCAAGGGCGGAGAGAACTTTCTCTAGCTAATATCAACATGGGAGCAGCATAATCAATTAAGGACCTAACATAGGCTATGTACATCATTCTCACGATTCTCACATTTGCACCATAGTTGGGATTGTAGCCAGCAACAGCTTTGAGAGCATTTAGCCTAGCTTTACATTTTCTTGTTTAGTTGTGGTATAGTGGATTTGTTAAAGGGTACATCTACACCAAGATATCTGTAAGTTTTAACGTAGCTAATGATTTCACCCTGCAAATAGATGGTGGGGGATGTCGTTTGCTTGTTAATATCTTAGTTTTAGGGGAAGATATTATGAGGCCTAGTCGATTACAAATTGCTTGAACTTCATTAAGAATGGTATTCATCTTCTTATGCCCTGTTGTATGGATCATGATATCATCAGCATAGCTTATAGCTATATGTTTAGGTGAGGCAGGTAGAGCATTTAGGAGAGCATTAATCAGAATATTAAATAGCATGGGACTAAGAACTCCTCCCTGCGGTGTACCTAAAGACATTTCTTTAGAATCACTTCTGAAGCCTTGGTAAAGGACAGAGGATACTCTATTTGACAGGTATCCTATTATCCAGCAGAGTAAGCTACCACCAATATTTATTTTGGCTAGTTCATGTAGTATAACGGTTCTGTTCGCAATATCAAATGCAGATTTTAGATCAAGAAAAGTGGTAAAACTAGTAGAGGTGTGTGCAGTGAGAAAGGTGGAAATACAGTTCTGCACACTTTTACCTTTCATGAACCCATAGAGGTAGGGGGAAAGTTGATGTCTGATTCTGTAGTACAGTCTGTTAAGCATCATTCTTTCAAAGTTTTACAAAGACAACTAGTTAAGGAGATCGGCCTAAATGTATCAGGCTGTTGGGGCTTAGGGATAGGCACAATGAGACTATTGGTCCAGGAAGAAGGAAGAACGCCCTCAATGTAACTGAGATTATACAGTGCCAACAAAGGGTTATCAGGCACGTGCCTTAGAGTTCTGAGAATATCATAGGTTATACCATCCTCTCCAGGAGCAGTTGATCGACCTTTGGTTAATGCATTATCTAATTCATACTCGGTAAAGAGGCAATCACTCTCATCAATATTTTGGCTCATAAAATTAATCAGTTTCAACATTTCTTCAGAAGTACTCTCTAAATTTTTTCTAATATGAGATGGAAGGCTTTCATGCCTGGATGTTTTGGACCAGTCATTTATGAGGTCATTTGCTTTTTCAAGAGGAAAGGGATGAGCAACATTGCCAGTCTTTTTCCTGGTTATTTTATTTATACCTTTCCAAGCCAAACTCAAAGGGGTGGACCTATTTAATCCACTAACAAACTGTTCCCATTCCTGTTGCCTAAGTTCTTCCTTTCTATTCCTTGCATTTGTTAGTGCAGCTTGGAACGTTCTGAGCAGGTCTGGGGTTCTACATTCAGGGTATGCTTTACCAATCCTCCTAGCTGCATGTGTTAGATTGCGCAGCTGTGGATCATTATAGTATTTACATTGGTTTTTATTGTTATTTATAGTGGAGGGTTTTTTTTCCTATTCCTGCCCACTTGATCTGTGAGAACACTCTCAATAGTGGTAATTAAATCATCATTAATTTTTTTTGTGCCAATGGGCTCGTAATTCTTATACCATTGATCCAAGTGGTTAATAAAGTTGTCTCTGTGTTCTGGTTTGAGAATAAGTTTCCTCCTTCTGTATTTAGCTCCTTGATTGCTGGAGATGTGATCAAGATTGACAGTTGTTAGTCTTGGGAAGTGATCAGATAGAAGATCATCAACTATGACAGAGTCATGCATCGTATATGATGTATTAAATCCAAGACACAGATCTAGTATGCCACCATATATGTGAGTAGGCTCAGTAGTGCCCACAATTCGAACATTATCATGCTCATTTAGCAATCTCACTAGTTTAGTTCCATTGGTGTTTGTTATAGACCCACCAATATTCTTATGTCTGGCATTAAAATCTCCAAGAATGATGGTAGGTTCACTATTGATGCGATCTGGTAAAGCATCAGGTCGAAGCTGGTTCGCTGGGGCATAGAGATTAAAGATGTTTATGGAAAAATCGCCTGCATATACTTTGACACCATGATACTGCATGTTAACTCGACTCTGCAAGGAAAGGAGTGAATGTGGCAAGCTCTTTCTGACATACATCACACAACAGTTGGTTGACCTTAGGTTATACGCTGCATATCCAGGCAAGTTTGGTGGAGGTGCTCCATCTTTCAATCTACATTCCTGCAAAACAGATGACATCAATATTCTTGGTTGCACTAATATGATGTAAGTCAGGCAACCGCTTCCTGATGGAAGCAATGTTCCATGAAAAGATTTGTAATGTATCCATTGTAGTGAGTTATTACAATCTCTTGCTCATAAGATGGTAAAACTATTATGCTTTGACTACAGTGTGCAGATACTTAAGAGCAAATAGCATAGTTTGTACGTCTTTATCTTCAGGACCTTTATTTTTAAGCATTTTTCGGCATTTTGGCAGCCAGTGATAAGGCAAGTCTTGAAGGCAAGAGTTATGGGCTTCTTTCTCACAAATTGCTGGAAGCTGAACAGAGATTGCTGCACTTTGGACATCATCACCATTCTCAAGAGCATCATCCTGATTACATATATTTATTAAACTTGTCAGGATCTGTTCAAGATGCTCAATTTTTTTCTGGAAAGTTATAATATGAGGAAGGTCTAATGAATCCAATGCCTCTCCGGAGGATGGCACTTCTGGGTTAGTGCTTTCTTTAACACCTATCACCTTAACAGGTACCATGGTTACATTAGTGTTCTCTGTTTCATCATTCATTGCAGGTAGGTCCTGTGCATCTGACTCATCTCCAATTTCCAGGGAGGTTACCTGTGTGGTGTCCGTCTTACTGTTGTAGTTGTGTGTATTGGGAGAAATGTCAAACTCATCCCCATATTCAGGTGTAGCCATAGGTATCTGTAGTGGCAGACCAGTAGTTCCATAAGTGGTGATTCAGATCATGTATGCATCGCGGTCAGTTCAGGCAGGGAAGTCGTGTCCACCAAACCTAATTTTGAAGAACTGTTCCAGTTTCTGTTTCCAGAGTTAGTCAGTCAATTAGTTAGTCAGGTAGCTGGATCAGCAGCTTATCCTGTGAGCTGTAGCGAGGAAAAAAACAGGATTATAAAGGTCACAGAGGGAAGATTTGGACAGAATCATTTTCCCGGACGTCCGATATGGAGGGTTTAATACGGCGCGGGCTGGCGCGACCCTATACTCCAACAACAACAACAACAACACAGGAAGCTGCATCGTCAGGCAACTCCTTGAAGAACCTCGTCACTGCCTGGAGAAGAAACTCTCAACCATAAAAGAAACCCCCAACCATAGAGGAAACCCTCAACCATAGAAGAAACCCCTAACCATAGAGGAAACCCTCAACCATAAAAGAAACCCCAACCATAGAGGAAACCCTCAACCATAAAAGAAACCCCAACCATAGAGGAAACCCTCAACCATAGAAGAAACCCAACCATAGAGGAAACCCTCAACCATAAAAGAAACCCCAACCATAGAGGAAACCCTCAACCATAAAAAAAAACCCCACCATAGAGGAAACCCTCAACCATAAAAGAAACCCCAACCATAGAGGAAACCCCCAACCATAAAGAAACCCCAACCATAGAGGAAACCCTCAACCATAAAAGAAACCCCAACCATAGAGGAAACCCTCAACCATAAAAGAAACCCCAACCATAGAGGAAACCCTCAACCATAAAAGAAACCCCAACCATAGAGGAAACCCTCAACCATAGAAGAAACCCCCAACCATAGAGGAAACCCTCAACCATAAAAGAAACCCCAACCATAGAGGAAACCCTCAACCATAAAAGAAACCCCCAACCATAGAGGAAACCCTCAACCATAGAGGAAACCCTCAACCATAGAGGAAACCCTCAACCATAGAAGAAACCCCCCAACCATAGAAGAATCCTTCACCAGTAGAAGAAACCCTTAACCATAGAAGAAACCAGCCATATAAGAAACCTTTAACCATAAAAGAAACCTTCAACCATAAGAACATAAAGGAACATTGCAGAAGGCCTACTGGCCCATGCGAGGCAGGTCCAATTCTCCCACCAGCTTAACCCAATGCTCTGACCTAGTCAGGTCAGTCACATTCACTTAAGGAAGGAGCACGGCACGTGACCCAGCAACACAAACTAGTCAGGTCCAACTCAAACCCACCCACACCCACTCATGTATTTATCTAACCTATTTTTAAAACTACACAACGTTTTAGCCTCAATAACTGTACTCGGGAGTTTGTTCCACTCATCCGCAACTCTATTACCAAACCAGTGCTTTCCTATATCCTTCCTGAATCTGAATTTTTCCAACTTGAAACCATTGCTGTGAGTCCTGTCTTGGCTGGAAATTATCAGCACGCTATTTATATCCCCTTTAATATTCCTGTTTTCCATTTATTCACCTCGATCATATCCCCCCTAATTCTACGCCTTTCGAGAGAGTGCAGATTCAGGGCCCTCAGTCTATCCTCATAGGAAAGATTTCTGATACATGGGATCATCTTTTTCATCCTCCTTTGTACGTTTTCCAGAGCATTTATATCCATTCTGTAATACGGTGACCAGAACTGAGCAGCATAGTCTAAATGAGACCTAACCAAGGATATATAGAGTTGAAGAACAACCTGAGGACTTCTATTATTTAAAATTCTAGATATGAAGCCAAGAATTCTGTTAGCTTTATTGCAAACACTAATGCACTGTTGTCTTGGTTTCAGGATACTGCTAATCAGAATCAGGAAGAATGACTTGAAGAAATAAGCAAGTGAAGCCTGCTCGTATCCCGCACACCGAACCCAATGTCTGGATAATTTGTGTCTGGATAATTTGTGTCTGAATAATTTAGCCTTGATAGAAATATTAGGTGAGAAGTCACTTTTTTTACCTATTTGTAGCTATGGGCCACTTGTATTAACCTATTTGTAGCAATGGTCCACTTTTATTTGCCAATTTGTAGCCATGGTCCACCTTTTTACCTGTTTGTTACCTGTTTGTAGCTATGGGTTACTTTTTATTTCCTGCTTCTACTTGAAGCTACAGGCCACTTATTTACCTATTTATGTTACCTGTTTCAAACTACTGACCACTTTTTTAATTTATATGTTACTTATTTCTTGTTACAGGCCTCATTTGTACCTATTTTTATACCTATTTATAGCTATGCACCACTTTCTTCACTTATGTCTATTACCTATTTTAATTACTGGCTATTTTTTTTACCAGTCCTTATTTCTGTTATCTGCGTGTCGCCACAGGACACTCCAAAAATGGAAAAGTTATTGACAACAGATGAAATGAATGTAGCTTTGGTCCTCTAGCTTTAAATAGGCGATAAATACATACACAATTTCTTACCTATTTGTAACTACAGGAGCAGAGATATGCTCATGGCATCCGGTCTTCAGTAATTTTTTTTAATTTAACTTTTTTAAAAGCTGCAATAACTGTATCATGAATCTCGAAATTGCAATGACACAAAAAATCACAGAACAAATTTGTGATTTGATTGTAGCTTTTTTTTATATATTTCGTACAGGAATTTTGTTTAAAATGTTTTAGCAAGCTTTTGTATTGTAGTCCAGGGACTATATGACCCCCAATGCGTTTAGCTCTTCACTGTGGCTGTAATGATAATTGAGGTCTGAGTACTTGGCTCATTAGGATGCCTTGATGCTGATGAGGGGCTCTTGATTCAAGGAAAAGGTGCTGTTCTCCCCTGTCAATTTGAACCTTAGGGCCTCCCATTTTCCCATCTGCTGCGGGTGAGTCTTTTAAAATTTAAGATAAGATATGTTGGGATTTTTAACCTCGGAGGTTAAGCTGTGGTAGGGAGGGTTAGCCACCCAAGATAACCCAGGGTAGGGAGGGTTAGCCACCCAGGATAACCCAGGGTAGGGAGGGTTAGCCACCCAAAATAACCCAGGGTAGGGAGGGTTAGCCACCCAGGATAACCCAGGGTAGAGACTTTTAGCCACCCAGGATAACCCAAGGAAGTCAGTGTATCATTGAGGACTGTCTGTCTCATTTCTGTTGTTGTCCTTCAGTCTTGTCCCCCAAGATGCCACCTGCACCAGTCCACTAACACCCAGGTACCTACTTACCACTAGTCATTTCTGGAGTGGAATCACAGTCGATGGCCTCCACTCCAAACCAACAGATACAGATATTAGTGCCGGAAAAAAAAGTTCGCCCCCAATACCACCAATACCACCAATCAGATGACGTTCTTCTTTGCAAATATACAGGGTCTAAAGCCAGCAATGAACAAAATACCTTTCATCCATGGACTGCTTGCAGAGGCAAATGCAATGTTCACGGCTTTCACAGAGACCCACATAAAGGATCACTTGGACAAAGAAATATGGATCCCAGGTTACAACCTAAACAGATGCGACAGAGTGAACAGGCAAAAGTTGGGGGTTGGCCTGTATATCGCAGAGTCACTTATATGCACAGAACTGCACTCTGAAGGAGGGGTGTTAATGTTGCAGTTTAAAAACTGTAGTGTAAAGCACCCTTCTGGCAAGACAGTGATGGAGTGAACGATAGTGAAAGTTTTTCTTTTTCGGGCCACCCTGCCTTGGTGGGAATCGGCCAGTGTTTACCTGGAGTTTACCTGGAGAGAGTTTCGGGGGTCAACGCCCCCGCGGCCCGGTCTGTGACCAGGCCTCCTGGTGGATCAGCGCCTGATCAACCAGGCTGTTGCTGCTGGCTGCACGCAAACCAACGTACGAGCCACAGCCCGGCTGATCAGGAACTGACTTTTAGGTGCTTGTCCAGTGCCAGCTTGAAGACTGCCAGGGGTCTGTTGGTAATCCCCCTTATGTGTGCTGGGAGGCAGTTGAACAGTCTCGGTCCCCTGACACTTATTGTATGGTCTCTTAACGTGCTAGTGACACCCCTGCTTTTCATTGGGGGATGGTGCATCGTCTGCCAAGTCTTTTGCTTTCGTAGTGAGTGATTTTCGTGTGCAAGTTCGTACTAGTCCCTCTAGGATTTTCCAGGTGTATATAATCATGTATCTCTCCCTCCTGCGTTCCAGGGAATACAGGTTTAGAAAACCTCAAGCGTCCCAGTAATTGAGGGTTTTTTATCTCCGTTAGCCCCGGAAAGTTCCTGTACATTTTCTAGGTCGGAAATTTTCACCCCTTAAAAAGGTGGCTGTTAGAGGCAGCAATATTCCAGCCTATAGAACAATGACCTAAAAGGGGGTCATCATGGGTTTTGGCCTCCCTAGTTTTAAAGGTTCTCATTATCCACCTGTCATTTTTCTAGCAAGCGTTTGATAAAATGTTAGGCCCTTTTAAGTGAGATCCCCGACATAATCACTCCCAGGTCTTTGACTTGGTGTTTCGCTCATTTTGTGGCCAAATTTGTTTTGTACTTGAGAAGATTTAATTTCCTCATGTTTACCAACAAAATTAAAATTTTTCTATCGTTAAATTTCATATTGTTTTCTGCACCCCACTGAAAGATTTGGTTTTGATGTCCCCCGGGGAGCCTTGCAGTGTCGCAAGGGAAACACTGTATGCAGATTCGGGTTCACGAAAAGGGAAGACACGGGTTTGGGGCTGACATCCTTGTCTATTCGGGAAGGGAGGATGAGGAACAAGATGGGAGCTAGTACTTGCCTTGGGAACAGAGCTTTTCACCGTAGTTTTGCCTGGGACTTTACCTTTGACACTATCCTCTGTTTCTGTTATGGGGAAAATTTTATAGACCCCATCGCCCAAATTTTTTCCTTTTTATTCCTTTGCGCCCCCATTTTGTGCCTTTTTCGCCATGGCACTTTTCGAAGCTTTTGCAAATCTGAAAATTTTTACATCTGCATTCTTTTTGTCTTAGTCATTTAACCTTGTCGTAGTGTCCAGTAGTTGGACAGACAAGCGACCTTTTTCTAAACCCATGTTGCCCGGGGTTTGTAACTGAGGGGGTTTTCTAGATGGGTGGGGATCTTGCCTTAGGACCCTTTTAAAAATTTTTTTGATATGGGGTGTTTGGCTATTGGTCGTATTCTTGCTGTTCTTTTCGCCCCCTTTGTGGATGGGGCTATTCTGTTGTTTTTTTGTAACGAGGGACACCCCCGTGTCCATGCCCCCCTCCATGGGTGGAAAAGGCTTTTGTGATAGGGCTTCTTGCAGTTCTTATGAAAACAAGTTCCATGAGTCTGGGGCCCTGGGGGGAGAGTGCTGGGGGTGTTTATTTATCGCCTGTTCGAAGTCATTTGGGATCAGATAACTCGGGGTAGGCTTGTGTTAATCAAATTTTTTGGCTCTCTCAAAAAAATTCATTTTTATCTTCACTCTCAGTCTGGTTAAACGGCTTGCTAAAAACTGAGTCATATTGGGACTTGAGTAGCTCACTCATTTCCTTGCTGTCATCTGTGTAGGACCCATCTTGTTTAAGTAGGGGCCCAATACTGGACGTTGTTCTCGATTTTGATTTGGCATAGGAGAAGAAATACTTTGGGTTTCTTTCGATTTCATTTATGGCTTTTAGTTCTTCCCGCGATTCCTGACTCCTAAAGGATTCTTTTAGCTTAAGTTCGATGCTTGCTATTTCTCTGACCAGTGTCTCCCTGCGCATTTCTGATATATTGACCTCTTTTAGCCGCTCTGTTATTCTTTTCCGTCGCCTGTAAAGGGAGCGCCTGTCTCTTTCTATTTTACATCTACTCCTCCTTTTTCTTAGAGGAATAAGCCTTGTGCATACATCGAGTGCCACCGAGTTAATCTGTTCTAGGCATAAGTTTGGGTCTGTGTTGCTTAGTATATCTTCCCAGCTTATATCGGTTAGGACTTGGTTTACTTGGTCCCACTTTGTGTTTTTGTTATTGAAGTTGAATTTGGTGAATGCTCCCTCGTGACTAGTCTCATTTTGTCGGTCTGGGGCTCCACGCATACATGTCTGAACCTCAATTATGTTGTGATCTGAGTATATTGTTTTTGATATGGTGACATTTCCTTATCAGATCATCATTGTTAGTGAAGATGAGGTCTAGTGTATTCTCCAGTCTAGTAGGCTCTATTATTTGCTGGTTTAAATTGAATTTTGTGCAGAGATTTAAAAGCTCGTGTGAGTGTGAGTTTTCATCAGAGCTGCCTCCTGGTGTTATTACTGCAACAATATTATTTGCTATATTCCTCCATTTTAGGTGCCTTAAGTTGAAATCCCCCAGGAGCAAGATGTTGGGTGCAGGAGCTGGAAGATTTTCCAGACAGTGGTCAATTTTTAACAGCTGTTCCTGGAATTGCTGGGATGTTGCATCCGAGGCTTGTAGACTACCACAATGACTAGGTTTTGGTTCTCGACCTTTACTGCTAAAACTTCCACTACGTCATTTGAGGCATTAAGCAGTTCTGTGCAAACAAGTGACTCTGCAATGTACAGGCCAACCCCCCCCTTTTGCCTGTTCACTCTGTCACATCTGTATAGGTTGTAACCTGGGATCCATATTTCGTTGTCCAAGTGATCCTTTATGGGTCTCAGTGAAAGCCGCGAACATTGCCTTTGCCTCTGCAAGCAGTCCACGGATGAAAGGTATTTTGTTGTTTATTGCTGGCTTTAGACCCTGTATATTTGCAAAGAAGAATGTTATCGGACTGGTGGTATTGTTGGTACTGGGGGGGGATTTTTTTTCCGGCATTAGTATCTGTATCTGTTGGTTTGGAGTGGAGGCCATCGACTGTGGTTCCACTCCAGGAATGACTGGATTTGGTGTACGATTTCTGCCATTTCCTGCCAGTTTTTTTTCCTTCCTGGTACTAAAAAACCTCTCCCTCTTGAGTGGCTGTGGCTACCCAGGTTTTCCCATGGCCTGGATGTTTTGTATCTTTTTGTCCCCTTTAGATGGTATGCCTGGCAATTTAAGTTATAGCACAGTCTTTCCTGTACTGAAGGTACACATTTCAGGGTGAAAAAGCTTACAGGAAGGGAGTTTACATTTTCCTGTTGTCATATGGGCATGACATTTTCTAGGGTGGTCATAGTTGCATGTCCCATCTGTTTTTCCCAGATTTCCCATGCCAGCAGATACCAAGTGCATAGTATGTGCACAGGCTTGGTTTCCGTTTGCCTTGGGTTTCTGTGACTGTATTCCCTGTTGGTGCATGTTTCCCTGTCTTATTCCTATCCTCCTTAGCACCAACAATGGAGCTCCCACCAGTTGTTTTTGGTAATTTATCCTCACTATTGCTATTGGAGTCCTCTTGTTTGCTATTTCCTGCGGTATTTCTGGTTTGCAATATGGTTTTTATCTTATCTTTGACTACACTTGTTTCCCTACTATGGCTCCTGTCCTCTATGAGGTCATTTATATGTATTCCTTCCTGCGTATAATTCCCGACTACCTGGACAAAATCTCCAGCTTCACCATTACTGTCTCCCAGGACAATATCTCCAACTTCACCATTTCTGTCTCCCAGGACAGCACCTCCAGCTTCACCATTACTGTCTCCCAGGACAGCACTATCAGCCCCACATTTACTGACTACCAGGACATCACCTCCAGCCTTACAGTTTGTGACTACATGGCCAGTATATAAAAAAATATAAAAAAAAAAAAACTGCTTAATGCTTCAAATGATGTAGTTGAAGTTTTAGCAGTAAAGATCGAGAACCAAAATCTAATCATTGTGGTAGTCTACAAGGCTCTGGATGCAACATCCCAACAGTTCCAGGAACAGCTGTTGAAAATTGACCACCATCTGGAAAATCTTCCAGCTCCTGCCCCAACATATTGCTCCTGGGGGATTTCAACTTAAGGCACCTAAAATGGAGGAATATAGCAAATAATATAGCAAATTGTTGCAGTGATAACACCAGGAGGCAGCTCGGACAAGAACTCACACACACACACGAGCTTTTAAATCTCTGCTCAAAATTCAACTGAAACCAGCAAATAATAGAGCCTACTAGGCTGGAGAATACACTGGACCTCATCATCACTAACAATAATTATCTGATACGAAATGTCACCATATCAAAAACAATATATTCGGATCACAACATAATCAAGGTTCAAACATGTATGCATGGAGCCCCAGACCAACAAAATGAGATCAGTCACGAGGGAGCCTTCACCAAATTCAACTTCAACAACAAGAACATAAAGTGGGACCAAGTAAACCAAGTCCTAAACAATATAAGCTGGGAAGATAGACTAAGCAACACAGATCCCAACTTATGCTTAGAACAGATTAACTTTGTGGCACTTGATGTATACTCAAGGCATATTCCTTTAAGAAAAAGGAGGAGTAGATGTAAAATAGAAAGAGACAGGCGCTCCCTTTACAGGCAACAGAAAAGAATAACAGAGCGGCTAAAAGAGGCCAATATATCTGAAATGCATAGGGAGACACTGGTCAGAGAAATAGCAATCATCGAACTTAAGCTAAAGGAATTTTATAGGAGTCAGGAATCGCGGGAAGAACTAAAAGTCATAAATGAAATCGAAAAAAACTCAAAGTACAGTATTTCTTTTCTTATGTCAAATCAAAGTCGAGAACAACATCCAGTATTGGGCCTCTACTTAAACAACATGGGTCCTACACAGATGAAAGCAAGAAAATGAGTGAGCTACTAAAGTTCCAATATGACTCAGTTTTTAGCAAGCCGCTAACCAGACTGAGAGTCAAAGATCTAAATGAGTTTTTTATGAGAGAGCCACAGAACTTGGTAAACACAGGCCTATCTGATGTTATCCTGATGCCAAATGACTTCGAACAGGTGATATGTGATATGCCCTTGCACTCTGCCCCAGGGCCAGACTCATGGAACTCGGTGTTCATCAAGAACTGCAAGAAGCCCCTATCACGAGCCTTTTCCATCCTATGGAGAGAGAGCATGGACACTGGGGTCATCCCACAGTTACTAAAAACAACAGACATAACCCCACTCCACAAAGGGGGCAGTAAAGCAATAGCAAAGAACTACAGACCGATAGCACTAACATCCCATATCATAAAAATATTTGAAAGGGTCCTAAGAAGCAAGATTGCCACCCACCAGTTGCACAACCCAGGGCAACATGGGTTTAGAGCAGGTTGCTCCTGTCTGTCCCAACTACTGGATAACTATGACAAGGTCCTAGATGCACTAGAAGACAAAAAGAATGCAGATGTAACAGACACAGACTTTGCAAAAGCCTTCGATAAGTGTGACTATGGCGTAATAGCACACAATATGTGTGCTAAAGGAATAACAGGAAAAGTTGGTAGATGGATCTATAATTTCCTCACAAACAGAACACAAAGAGTAGTAGCCAACAGAGTAAAGTCTGAGGCAGCTACAGTGAAAAGCTCTGTTCCGCAAGGCACAGTACTCGCTCCCATCTTGTTTCTCATCCTCATACTGACATAGACAAGGATGTCAGCCACAGCACCATGTCTTCCTTTGCAAATGACACCGAATCTGCATGACAGTGTCTTCCATTGCAGACACTGCAAGGCTCCAGGCGGACATCAACCAAAGCTTTCAATGGGCTGCAGAAAACAATATGAAGTTCAACAATGAGAAATTTCAATTACTCCATTATGGTAAACATGAGGAAGTTAAAACTTCATCAGAGTATAAAACAAATTCCAGCCACAAAATAGTGAAAAACTAACATCGAAGACCTGGGAGTGATCATGTCGGAGGATCTCACCTTCAAGGACCATAACATTGTATCAATCGCATCTGCTAGAAAAATGACGGGATGGATGATGAGAACCTTCAAAACTAGGGAGGCCAAGCCCATGATGACACTCTTCAGGTCACTTGTTCTATCTAGGCTGGAATATTGCTGCACACTAACAGCACCTTTCAAGGCAGGTGAAATTGCTGACCTAGAAAATGTACAGAGAACCTTCACGGCACGCATAACAGAGATAAAACACCTCAATTACTGGGAGCGCTTGAAGTTCCTGAACTTGTACTCCCTGGAACGCAGGCGGGAGAGATACATGATTATATACACCTGGAAAATCCTAGAGGGACTAGTACCAAACTTGCACACGAAAATCACTCCCTACGAAAGCAAAAGACTTGGCAGATGATGCAACATCCCTCCAATGAAAAGCAAGGGTGTCACTAGCACGTTAAGAGATAACACAGTAAGTGTCAGGGGCCCAAGACTGTTCAACTGCCTCCCAACATACATAAGGAGGATTACCAATAGACCCCTGGCTGTCTTTAAGCAGGCACTGGACAAGCACCTAAAGTCGGTGGTACCTGACCAGCTGGGCTGTGGCTCGTACATTGGATTGCGTGCAGCCAGCAGTAACAGCCTGGTTGATTAGGCCCTGATCCACCATGAGGCCTGGTCACAGACTGGGCCGCGGAGGCGTTAACTCCCGGAACTCTCTCCAGGTAAATTCCAGAATTCTAAGCCATTGATTCACACCATTTATTCATTCTAAGACAATTATTCACAACATTTATTCACAAGGTGAATAAATGTTAATAATAAAAATTATTAGCAAGGTGTTTTGTGTTCACTGATAAACTGTTTTCTCACCAAAATGCCATAAAACTATTTTTTGCTTTTTACCCTGTTTCCGTGGCTCAGTTGATAGCGCACTCAGCTCACACACTGAGCTCCGGGGTTTGATTCCCTGTACGGGTGGAAACACTGGAGTGTGTTTAACAAAGACAGCTGCTGTGCCTGTTCACTTAGCAGTAAGTAGGTACCTGGGTGTTAGTCACCTTACACCTGCTCTCCCTGTTCACCTAGCAGTAGGTACCTGGGTGTTAGCTGACTGGTGTGGGTCGATTCCTGGGGCATAAAATTAACCTAAGTTGCAGGATATGCTTAGCATAACCAGGGATTTTCTATATACAGTGGACCCCCGGTTAATGAACTTTTTTCATTCCAGTAGTATGTTCAGGTGCCAGTACTGACCGAATTTTTTCCCATAAGGAATATTGTGAAGTAGATTAGCCCATTTCAGACCCCCAAACATACACGTACAAACGCACTTACATAAATACACTTACATAATTGGTCGCAATTGGAGGTGATCGTTAAGCGGGGGTCCACTGTAGTATGCCATTGATGTCAGCTATGGCCTGTACAAGTTGTATCATGTACTTGTAGAAATTATTATTATTATTACAGTGGTAATGTCTCGTGTTTTTGTTTACAGACTATCGTGGCCACAGCAGAGCTGCAGCAGAGCTGCATTTGCTGCATAAATACAAAGCCCCATTAAATATCTGTGAACGGCAGTAACACTGCATATATATACTGCACACTAGTGTCAGATATACTACAGTGCTGACTCCCAGTGCCAGATGTATTGTGTAAGTGTAATATCGTAAGTGTTGGGTGTCATATGTGCCGTTACCAAACGAATTTGCTCCCATAAGGAATTTTGTAAATTAGATTAGTCTGTTTCAGACCCCCAAAAATACACTTACAAAAGCACTTACAAAAATACACTTACATAATTGTTCAAGTTGGGAGCTAATCACAAGTCTGGGGTCCACTGTATTTGTGGGGTTCGAACACGTGGATAGGGTAAAGAAATACTCACGTAGGCTGGTAGTATGTATATTACGGATAGTGTGGGAAGCGCCAAACAGCCGTGACCTGCCTCCTTGCTCTCATTCGTAAGACTGACTAACCCCAGTACCCATATGTGAGGGGGTGTTTGAAATACTGCTGTGGTCAGCAGCAATATGAATACAGACAGTGATTCACGCAGAGACGGTTGGTAGTGAGTCATCTACTGGTACACTGGTTACTGGTAACTGGTTAATAGGAACTGGTACTACTACTGAGATATTTTGAGTAGTTTCAACAATTAGGGTGAGGACAGACATTCATAAAATACAAGTGTTCTTATTTTTATTTTATTATCACACCGGCCGATTCCCACCAAGGCAGGGTGGCCCGAAAAAGAAAAACTTTCACCATCATTCACTCCATCACTGTCTTGCCAGAAGGGTGCTTTACACTACAGTTTTTAAACTGCAACATTAACACCCCTCCTTCAGAGTGCAGGCACTGTACTTCCCATCTCCAGGACTCAAGTCCGGCCTGCCGGTTTCCCTGAATCCCTTCATAAATGTTACTTTGCTCACACTCCAACAGCACGTCAAGTATTAAAAACCATTTGTCTCCATTCACTCCTATCAAACACGCTCAAGCATGCCTGCTGGAAGTCCAAGCCCCTCGCACACAAAACCTCCTTTACCCCCTCCCTCCAACCCTTCCTAGGCCGACCCCTACCCCGCCTTCCTTCCACTACAGACTGATACACTCTTGAAGTCATTCTGTTTCGCTCCATTCTCTCTACATGTCCGAACCACCTCAACAACCCTTCCTCAGCCCTCTGGACAACAGTTTTGGTAATCCCGCACCTCCTCCTAACTTCCAAACTACGCATTCTCTGCATTATATTCACACCACACATTGCCCTCAGACATGACATCTCCACTGCCTCCAGCCTTCTCCTCGCTGCAACATTCATCACCCACGCTTCACACCCATATAAGAGCGTTGGTAAAACTATACTCTCATACATTCCCCTCTTTGCCTCCAAGGACAAAGTTCTTTGTCTCCACAGACTCCTAAGTGCACCACTCACTCTTTTTCCCTCATCAATTCTATGATTCACCTCATCTTTCATAGACCCATCCGCTGACACGTCCACTCCCAAATATCTGAATACGTTCACCTCCTCCATACTCTCTCCCTCCAATCTGATATTCAATCTTTCATCACCTAATCTTTTTGTTATCCTCATAACCTTACTCTTTCCTGTATTCACCTTTAATTTTCTTCTTTTGCACACCCTACCAAATTCATCCACCAATCTCTGCAACTTCTCTTCAGAATCTCCCAAGAGCACAGTGTCATCAGCAAAGAGCAGCTGTGACAACTCTATAAGTGTTCTTATAGAGGAATTTTCAGAAAAACTTTAAAAATGTAAAATATTGGTTAATTTTTTTTTTGTTGGTAATGTCTCGTGTTTTTGTTTACAGACTATCGTGGCCACAGCAGAGCTGCATTTGCTGCATAAATACAAAGTCCCATCAAATATCTGTGAATGGCAGTAACACTGCATATATATACTGCACACTAGTGTCAGATATACTACAGTGCTGACTCCCAGTGCCAGATGTATTGTGTAAGTGTAATATTGTGAGTGTTGGGTGTCATATGTGTCATTATTGTTAGATATACTTGTACAGTGAATAACTAAAGAGAGTGTGATGAATACTTGTCAGTGTTTAGTAATGGCCCACTCAGAGACAGAAACTCAGAAAATTAATTAATCTGTATATTTTGGCCCCCCTGCTGGGGTCCTCTTCAGCAGATACACAAGTGAAAGGCAAAAACACGTACAGTATCAACACTAATAATAAAATTAATATTTCAGCATGTTACAAAGCTTATACAGAGTTGGGTGACATTTAGATATGCATGCCGAAAGCTCCTTTTATGCACAGAATTTCAGCAAATTTAAACCTAACTTAGGACTAAAAGGGCAATAACTATGTGCTTATACGTATATATCTATATATATATATGTACGATCTCTAAGGGTCATGAACTAACAATCACAGAACTTACTTTAACATCACCATTCGCACATGCACATCCTCATATTTTAGCTAAATTATGTAAATTATCGCACTTGTAATCGAAACTGCTCTTACAGTTACATTTTATGGCAAAATTATGCTAAATAATTCACTGTGTACCCGCTGCTGCTCCTGTGAGTGGTAGTTCACTGTGTACCCGCTGCTGCTCCTGTGAGTATTTTTTTCATCTAGCATATACGTATATTTTAGCTAAAAATTAAAGTGAACTTATTTTCATTTTATTGATCAGATACGTATTATTTTTGTTCAACACCTTGTCTTATTGCAGAGAATTTGTATTTATCAGGAGCATATTTATATTCATTAACAGTGTCTAATATGCAATGCATTTGCAACACCAAACATTCATTATAAAATTGTGATAATTTATTTTAATGCTTCAGTATTGAGCAATTAAAGAATATTAATTAGTAATTCGAGAGTAAAATTATAATTGTACAGTAGTATTGTTTGAAGGGGGGAAAGTTACCAGTTATTTCATATATTTTGGGGGGAGAGTTTCTTGTTATTTAATATATTTTTTTGAAAGTTTATGGTTATTTAATATATATCTAAGAAAACTTAATTCAGGAAAAAAATAAAATTTACCATCTTTTTTTGTAAACAAATCGTTCTTAATATGCTTCAAATTCTTTATAATGGTCAATATTATTAGCAAACTCCAGAGTTCACATACGTGAGAAATATATAGGTGTTTAGTACTGAAAAATTATTCACCAATTTATACTTGTAAAAATTCTCACATAGACTAGAGCCCATGGCAGCGGTCAACATGTTCAAAAAATTGAATGTGGAATCTACTTCAGTGATGGAAATTGGGGTCGACACTGAAAAGACACAACATCAGTGTTCAGTGTGCCTGAAATTTTTTTCCAGTAGAACGTCTCTAGTGAAACATTCAAACATTCACACAGAGAAAAAATACCAGTGTTCCGAGTGTGTAAAAGTGTTTCTGCGAAAGTATAATTTAGTGAGGCACATGACAACTCATACTGGTGAAAAATTACACCAGTGTTTAGTATGCCTAAAGCATTTTTCTGGGAAATCGTACTTAGTTACACACATGAAAGTTCATACAGGGGAGAAAGCCTATCAGTGTTCCGAATGTTTAAAAGAATTTATGCTAAAATCACACTTATTAAGGCACAAACGAACTCATACGGGTGAGAAGCCATACCAGTGTTCAGTATGTTCAAAAGACTTCACAGAAAAATATCATTTAACTATTCACATGAAAAATCATACAGGAGATAAGCCATATCAGTGTTCAGTATGTCTCAAAGTCTTTCCAGTTAAATCTTCTTTATTAAGACATACGAGAGTTCATACAGGAGAGAAGCCATATCAGTGCTCTGAATGTCAAATTGGTTTTTCACTAAAAGCTCACTTAGAAAGACATTTGAGAACGCATTCAGGCGAGAAACCATATCACTGTTCAGTCTGCCTGAAAGACTTTGCACTGAAACCAACGCTGGTGACTCACATGAGAACTCACACAGGTGAGAAACCACATCAGTGTCCAGTATGTCTCAAAAGCTTCTCAGATCAGTCTTATTTTAAGAAACATTTAAAAATGCATACAGGAGAAAAGCCATACCAGTGTACAGTGTGTGTCAAAGGGTTTTTTGATAATTCTTCATTAAATAAGCATTTGAAAACACACACAAGAGAGAAGCCATATAAATGCTCAGTGTGTTTGAAAGGCTTTACACAAAAATATTTATTGGCAACACACTCACAAGTTCATTCAGAAAATGCTTTATTAAAGCAAATAAGGATTCCAAAAGTTAAAGAATCATGTTAGTGTTGAGAATGTAAATAAAAAAGAAAAAAAAAAACTGACGTAAAATGTGTAAAACTGAACCCTTTGAAGAACAAAAAGGCACAATACCATGATTGGAACAATACATAAATAACTCACACATAGGAGAGAGAGTGAGTTTACAATGACGTTTTGGTCCAACTCAGACTATTTACATAGTGTGACTTCGTAAATGGTCTAAGTTGGACCGAAAAATCATCATAAGTTCTCTCTCCTATGTGCAGGTTATTTGTGCACTGAATCCTTTCGCTGTCTCTTATGAAGTTGTACATAATTGAAGCCGGTGTCACTCACTCAGATCAGCATTTTAAGTGCAGCATCCTAAAATATGCTGTGAGTGGATAATTTTGGCCTGGACATGAGAGAATGGATATGCGCAATGAGTGTACACAATATAAAAAACAAAATCCTGCCCAATGTGGTGCATGATAGGAAAAGCCAATCTCCGACCTTGTGTTTGGCTTAAAATGACGACTTTGACGTGTTTTCTAGATGGTTTTTATGAAACACAACCTCTTCTCTCTCATGTATGGGTAATTTGTATGTTGTTCCAGTCATGGTACTGTGCCTTTTTCTTCATGGTCTTTAATAAATTTTTGGGTGTTGGTATTGCCTGATAGAATGGAAGATGTACTACTGAAATAGAGATGATTTTGGTCAGTTTCAGGACCTGAAGTAGCAGAAAAAAAGTCTCCAGTAGAGCAAGTCCTCAACTTATTAACCCGTTGAGAATTTTCTGTATTGTGTATATCATGTCATTATTGTTTATAATATCATCATTATATCATTATTATACACAATTCAGGAGGTCCCCAATTTGTTTGTAAGTTGAGGACTTACTATAAGCAGAAATACAGTGGTACCCCGAGTTTCAAACTTTCTGCGTTCCAGAATGCTGTTCGAGTGCCGTTACCGGACAAATTTGTTCCCATAAGGAATAATGTAAATTAGATTAGTCCATTTCAGACCCCCAAAAATACACTTACAAAAGCACTTACAATAATACACTTACATAATTGGTCGAGTTGGGAGCAGTTCGAAACTCTGGGTACCACTGTATTCAGTTTTTGACGATTTTTCCAAGGAAAGGTAAAGCCCTACCACCTCCCATTGTCTGTTTTATGAGTTTTTTCTGTGTCTACTTCAATTATTGTGATACCCTAAACCATGGCCAGTCATTCTTGGTTTATATTTTATTATTGAAGAAATTGGGTAAAACTTTGATTTTTTGTATGTGTTGTGATGGATGCAAACTGGAAGGTAAATGTCATATAGGAGAGGCACTGGTGGACCTACATTTTTGGGGCCCCTGAAACTTGGACTGTTATGGGGGAAACCCCTTTGCAACCCCTCCTCATACAGTAGGCTCAAAATTTTTAAGCAATGTGGACTAAAGTCACTGCTGGGGGCCCCTCTGGGATTAGGGGCCCTGAAGCTTAAGCTTCATTAGGGCCCCTAATCCTGGATGGGCCCCCAGAAGTGACATTAGTCCACAATGCTTAAAAATTTTAGGTCTACTGTATGAGAAGGGGTTGCAAAGGGATCCCATAACAGTTCAAGCTTCAAGGCCCCAAAAATGTAGGTCCACCACTGGATCCGTCCCTAAGGAGAGGCCTAGGGACTTGATTAATAAACAGAGGATAGGTTGGTTTAGTTGCTGGAATGCACACATTGTTATTTTGAATTCTGTTTTTAATCTGGAATTTATTGGATTTTGTGTAAAATTGGTCAAATTAGCAACTTTTGAGCGCTATGTAGGGTAGTTATGATTGCTGAATGGACGGTTTCCTGCACTCAGTCAATAGAACAGAAGGCATACTAGCAAAGTAACTAATAACTGGTCTGATTACACAGTGGAATTGGCTTGAAATAGGACTCAAAGTGGGCAGAATGGCCAATGTATAAATTGCTCCCAGACCACCAAATTTGTGCCTGTGATTGCACACGAGATTTCCATCAAATTTCATATTTTTGGTTTCATTACCTTCAGGAAAATGTTCTCTACAATGTCAGGACTTTTGAGGTCCTAACAGTGAAAGGTTAAGGAGACCTTCTTTTTGGAAGTTCAATCCAGCAAGTTTTATAAAAGTTCATATGAGATATAAAATCATGTACAGGAGGGCCCCGCTTATACAGCAGGTTAAGTTCCGAGCTACTGTAGGGCCCCACTTATACAGCAGGTTAAGTTCCGAGCTACTGTAGGGCCCCACTTATACAGCAGGTTAAGTTCCGAGCTACTGTAGGGCCCCACTTATACAGCAGGTTAAGTTCCGAGCTACTGTAGGGCCCCACTTATACAGCAGGTTAAGTTCCGAGCTACTGTAGGGCCCCACTTATACAGCAGGTTAAGTTCCGAGCTACTGTAGGGCCCCACTTATACAGCAGGTTAAGTTCCAAGCTACTGTAGGGCCCCACTTATACAGCAGGTTAAGTTCCGAGCTACTGTAGGGCCCCACTTATACAGCAGGTTAAGTTCCGAGCTACTGTAGGGCCCCACTTATACAGCAGGTTAGGTTCCACGCTACTGTATCAAATCAAATCAAAGTTTATTCTCTATAAGGATTACAATGTGGGGTTTACAGATTTTGGTTATTGTGTGGTTTACATGTAATAAAATAATAATTACAGAGGGGGCCACTAGAACACCTAGCATGGCTAGGCCTTTCGGGCAAACTTTGATTAATTCTTAACCCTAAATTATTACAAATTGTGGAGTAAGTTGACTAAATACTGTAGGGCCCTGCTTATACAGTATGCTAGATTCCGGGCTACTGCTGTAAAGTTGAACATAACCTTTTACTTTCAGATGCATATAAAAGCTTGATATCATGTTTACTTCTTCTTTCTTTCAACACACCGGCCGTATCCCACCGAGGCGGGGTGGCCCAAAAGGAAAAACGAAAGTTTCTCCTTTTACATTTAGTAATATATACAGAAGAGGTTACTAGCCCCTTGCTCCCGGCATTTTAGTTGCCTCATACAACACGCATGGCTTACGGAGGAAGAATTCTGTTCCACTTCCCCATGGAGGTAAGAGGAAATAAACAAGAACAAGAACTAGTAAGAAAAATAGAAGAAAACCCAGAGGGGTGTGCATATACGTATATGCTTGTACATGTATGTGTAGTGTGACCTAAGTGTAAGTAGAAGTAGCAAGACGTACCTGAAGCCTTGCATGTTTATGAGACAGAAAAATGGACACCAGCAATCCTACCATCATGTAAAACAATTACAGGCTTTTGTTTTACACTCGCTTGGCAGGACGGTAGTACCTCCCTGGGCGGTTGCTGTCTACCAACCTACTACCTAGGATCATGTTTACATTATCATATATTAAGTGACCAATAGAGCTAGGCCAAAAAAAATGCATATACAGTACACACATTATTTACCTTCAAATATTTTTGTCCTTAGCTTATAGTGAGTAGTGAATATATTTGTGTGCGATGTCTGAATACAGTGGACCCCCGCCTTACGATATTAATCCGTTCCTGAGAGCTCATCGTAAGCCGAAATTATCGTTAGCCGAATTAATTTTCCCCATAAGAAATAACGTAAATCAAATTAATCCGTTCCTGACACCATAAAGTATGAAAAAAAACAATTTTTACCACATGAAATATTAATTTTAATACACACAAACTGAAGAAGACATGCACAATTACTACTCTACTAAGAATAGAATACATGACACTTGCCTTTATTGAAGATCTGGTGATGATTGATGTGATGGGAGGAGGGGAGAGTGTGGAAGTTGTTATTGTTATAGTTGTATTGTTATTGTTTAGGACTTGAGGTAGTAAGTCCTTTTCCAGGGCTACTTCCCTTCTTCTTTTAATGCCACTAAGACCAGCTTGAGAGTCACTGGACCTCTTTCACACAACAAATCTGTCCATAGAGCTCTGTACCTCCTGTTCCTTTAAGGCTTTCCTAAAATGGGCCATAACATTGTCATTGTACAGGTTGCCAACCCGGCTTGCAGTAGCTGTGTCAGGGTGATTTTCATCCGTAAGGGTTTGCAGTTCAACCCACTTTGCACACATTTCCTTAATCTCTTTTTTCAATTCCATACTAATTCTCGCCCCTTTTTACCATAGGGATGGCACTAGAAGCTTTCTTGGGGTCCATGGTGACTTATTTTGCAAGCACTAAAAACACTGGGATAATGTGAAATGTACCGAATGTATGCATAGATGCAACCGCACTGGCTGGCTTGCAAACACTGGTGCTGAGGCCACATGTGGGACGTGTCCCAGACGAATCATGTAAGGCGAGTTTTTTATCGTGAGACGAGGCAAAATTTTTGCGTTCAAAATGCTTTATATGGTGGATTTAACGTAATGCGATGCGTTTGTAAGGCAGGGTCCACTGTAAATGAAAAATAGGTATAATTGAAAACCACTGTACAGCCTCTTCTCATTGAGCGATGTATGTACTCATATGCCGATGACTTGGACTTACGACAGGCTCTCTGACCAGTATGCATACCTAAATAATGTATATTAGAGCTGATTTCCTCTATTCTGTTTATTACAATATACAGTACTACATTACTGTATAAACATTTAAAAATATACCAGAGTAGTTATAAATGGTGCAAAGGTGACATTAAAACAATATCAAAGATGGTTGACAAACCCACTACCATTATAGTATGCTCCTCACTTAGCGGCAAATTCATTTATTGATGTGGTCTTAGGAATGGAACTCCATCATTAAGTGACGAGAGGCTGTATTAGTAAATCAACTTAAAGCGAAGCACTGTAAAGCAGGGCCTGCCTGTACATTGAAATTCAGTGGTGTGACATTGTATATAGAGCACACTGTCCCTACAAACAATGCAAATACAGTGGACCCCCGGTTAACGATATTTTTTCACTCCAGAAGTATGTTCAGGTGCCAGTACTGACCGAATTTTTTTCCATAAGGAATATTGTGAAGTAGATTAGTCCATTTCAGACCCCCAAACATACACGTACAAACGCACTTACATAAATACACTTACATAATTGGTCGCATTCGGAGGTAATCGTTACGCGGGGGTCCACTGTACTTAATA